ACAAGTCCTTCGTCCGACCGGACCTTCTCGACATGACGCTGCTGAACTTTGTGCATCACTTCAAGCTGAGGGAAGGGTACAAGTCGACGAACGTGGCGGAGGGGACGGCGGTGATCAACCACTACAAGTACCAGGTGTGGGACACTTTCAAGGCCAAGTTTTTCAGGAGGGTTTCGACCTATGTGACCAACTGCCAGGACGATCACATGTATTTGTGTTGACACATGTATTTGTGTTGTTTCATTTGTTGCATCGTATATATTTTAATTCTAGGTCATGTGAGGATCATGCTAGCCTAGACAGGGATGGTTCCGCCCATATATGATTATGGTACACCCGTCTTAATGGTCTATTTCGATGGCGGATAGGCAATGATGAGGGAGTTTTGTGGATTTTGACCTTTTTTTTATAAGCTATTGTTTTGGTTGGTTATACCTCAATGTTTTGTTTAATTATTTCTTGATTCCTTTGTTCTCTCTTTGGAGTTACTCACCTTATTTTAGTGGAATCTCTTGGCAATTTTCTGATAATTGACTTGCTGCTCTCAAATGCACAAATTTGCAGGATGGCTTATGGCAATGCACCAGATGCTGCTCAGCTCAGGTTTCGATTATATCTTCCACCCTGCTATCAAAGTTGACCCTTGGCTTCCGAGATATTGAAGTCTCCTCTTTATGGTTTGGCTTTATTTCTTTCTATTTCCTGGCATGGTCCTCCAATTCTTGATTGTGGGTTTTAGTTCTCAAAATCAGGACTTGCTTTTCTTGCCATGATATGGCTTCAATGCATGAACCGCTTCTTTTGGTTGAGTTTTTGTTAGTGGTTTAAACAATTAGCATATTTTCTAAATGTAGGGTAATTTGGTGGGGGAGACTAATCAATTCTACATTTTCAGATACATTAGCCTACTTTCAATATGCAGTGTTTGTATGTATGATTCGAGAGTAGGGGTCTATGATCCATATGTCGTCTTTCAGGCCTGCACTTTCGGCTGATATATGTTTATCACTCCAACGAATGAAGCCTTACAAATTTATGGGGGTTGATGCTTACCCCGGGTGAGTTAGTCGGTGCATTTATGTCCTCTCCTCCCTACTGCTTTATTAGCCGTTTGTCTCACTTTTAGTCGTTCTGCTCTAGAAGGTGACCATTATATCATGTGTGATCTGATCAATTTCAATGTTTTTCATTCACGTGTTTCCTTATTACTAGCTCTATTCCCACACTTCGAAGCGATTAGTTTGAGCCTTCCAGTATATGATCCTATAAACTCATTTACAATTGAATTGTCAGTATAAGCTATTTTACTTGCATTATATAACGCTTTGGAGTTTGGGACATTTTATTCTTAAAGATTTTAGTCATTTTTGCTATATGGTTTCGATTTTTTTTATTTGGTTTAGATATTTATCCAGTTCGATCTGGCTTTCAAGTTGTACGAAATTAAGTTGGCTGAATCTATCACTTTAAAAAAAAAGTTTGCTGAATCTATCTATTTTAGGAGTCAAAAGTTCTATCATCTACTTGAAAAAGAACTCTTAAGGTGTGTGTCTATTTCTTTGTAATAACTTGGTTTGTTTTTCCTAATTATTTTCTCTGTCATTGTTGACATGGCCTGCAATTTCTCATTAACAAAAAGGACTATGCATGGTTTCCTACTCCAAACATGCTTTGTAGTGTCTTCCCAGTTCCCACCGCTTCGACATTGGTGAAACACAAAGCTCCTTTGCTATATCACCAACAAAGATGTTTCATTATTATCAAAACTACGATGGTACGTGCCTAGACTAATTGTTCTTTATCAATGCCCAGTTAGTAACTTTGTTCTAATATGCCTCTTAATTTTCAACAACGACAAGTTTATAGTTTGTTCTCATTCTGTTCAACTTATCTTCCACTATGCTTTCAGTATGCCTCCTTTCGTTGATGTTTTATATGTTCATATGACAAGAATCGTTACCTCATTTTCATCATTGATACAAGATCTGTTGAGTGATCTCTTGCTATTATTTCATAGTAGAACCTTTAAATATACCAAACCAATTTCAGTTATAGACAATCATGTCACCAATTTACCTGAGAAATTTTAATGGAAATCACTGTGGTTTTTCAGCCAAACACTTGCTGATTTTGGTTATTCCCCGTTGTTACTATATTTTCACTTTAGACACCCAGTTGTAATCTTCGACGATTCCAACTTCGTGTGGATGCTAATTCCTCAATCATGACTTAGTAATGATGTAGTCTTTAACTGATAATTTACCTCTCTTTTGGGTACATATGCACCTATTTTTGTTCACAAATTTATTTTTAATTTCACAGCCAAGATAGTCAACTGGGGTCTGGGTGCATTTCCTAATTACAAATGCTTCCCATCACACCCAATGTTCCGCCACCGCCACCATCACTTCCAAGTTCCAACCATGGGCAAGATACAAAACTCAACATCTTCATTTCACTGGCCATGGCCAGATCATAAACCAAATATGTTAAGAGTTAGATAGATAAATGATGGATGATGTGAGCGCTTGACCGAGAGCGGTGAATTGGTTGGGAAGTTGCCAAGTTTTTCGGCAATAAGGTGGTCAGCCACCCTGCCGATGAATCGGACCCCATAACGTAACATTTAATATAAATAGCCTTGATTCTGCAAATGTTTCTATTTTTAGAATGTGAATTGAAATGCTGCAGCAAAAGAAGGAGAAGGAAAGATCAATATTTTGGCGGGCTAGGGCTGGAACTGAAAGTTGCGATGAGTTTTGATGTGCATATATATTTTCTATTACTGAAACTGCTAGCCTTAGATATTTGTGAAAGCTCTCTTTGAGAACTCAGAGTTGTCTGCTTTATTCATCTAATTTGGGCTCAAACAATTGTGCTAACCTATAGTTTTTATTGTCAGGCCTCATTCTCTTTTCACTGATAAATTGCCTAATAACAAAATTAAATTGACCTACAGTGACTTTTGTTTTCCAGGTTCTTTCACCGTGTGTGGTAACGAATATGAAATATAACCGGTAGCATTTTGTTCTTTTTTATATTCACTTTATAAATTTTACATGTTTTTTTGGAATCAAGAGGTATGGATCCGTACATCGATAATAACAAATCTTATAAAGAAAAACAATTTAAGCAATTTATATTGAATGTAAAAAAGTATAAAATTTTCTTCTAAAATATAAAAAAATATAGATACCAGTAACCTAGGATGGCTACATCACCAGAACTAATTACTTACTAATATAAAATTCAAAAGTAACACAAATATTATTTTCCCTTTATGAATAAACTATTTAAAAGACTGTAAATTTTTTGAAAATATGCAAATTGGTTAATACAAAACAACAAAATATAATACAAAATTCATCCGACCAACGGGTCGGGTAAAAGCTAGTATTATAAGTATATTCATAAATATTATTCTTGTCCGGGAAAGAGGTAAGTTAAAAACATCCCGAATTTGTTGTTGTTTGAGTAACAAAAATCTAATATACAACTTTCATTAGTTAGCACAAGTAAAATGCATGGTTAAATTTGACATAAACTAATTGGATTTCTAGATACAATACAACCAGAATATCACAACAACCCAAAAGTCAACTTACCATCCATCATAGGAAAATTCGACCTTTCTCCTAAATACGTATACTAAGTACTAACTTCTATTTTTGTTCTCGCCAAAAAAAAAAACCTTCTATTTTTGTTTGATTCTCCCCTTTGTGTAAACATATTTCATTTTCAGAAATTTATTTCATCGATGTATAATTCTAATATTAAGAGCCAATTAAACCGAAGGCATGGACAATGGCTTATCGAACAGCTCTACTGGTGGAACTTCAATTTATGGTACTGTACCGGTCAAATAGCGCCCAACAATTTGAACCACACAGCCTCACTGAAGTCTTCGTTGGATTCATACTTAATTTCTCTGAACGCGTCGATGCTTGCAAATACGAACACTGGAAGGCTCCTTAGCTCGCACGTTATCCGACAATTAAGTTAGTAAGGGAATCCCTTTTGAGAGATAATTGCACGTAGTATTCACTAACCACCAATTTTAAATGTGTTCATACTCCCACTATTTTATAGTTCGAGAGAAAGACCCTTTAAGTTCGTCCAACGCAATCACCATATTTACTGCTTCATACTCGCCCTTGACCTCGCATCCCAACAAAAAAAAAATAGTGTTGTAGGGCGTTACTATTGCATGATGCCATTCCCCCGACGCTTGTGATGTCGTATGTCGTCCTTATTCATTCCTCACTGACTGAATCAAATCACACCTGACGTCATGACTCCTTTTTGGATCTACTAACACGAACAGTTCCTTGATGGAATGGTTCGCATTGTCTATATAACGTGTGATGTGAACAAAAATTACTACAAAACAATCCACTTCTTGCCAATTTAAACATCTAAAATTTCTAACCTTGCAATTATGATGAATTCAACTCAATAAGTTAGAACAACCAAATCAGTTAGACTTTTTGAGTTACAATAACATTTCACTAACCCTAATAATAACCATACACCATCTAACTCTCACTAATAAATCACCATTGTCCTCCACCCAACACCAACGGCTCATCTCAATCTCAATAAAACCTCTCCTTTTGACTTTCCCTTGCTTTCTTCGTAGCTCATCAATCATCATTTCATTCCCTTCCCTTCCCCTTCTTTCCTTTCCTTACCCACTGGGTCCCACCATTGCCAACGTCGGTCAATAACCCTGACAAATCTCTCCTGCCACGCGTCGTCCCCTCATTCGCTTGCCTCTTTGACCTCTCGTTTTACCTCCTCCAAAGCTGACAGCTCACTCACCCGATGCCTTGCTTTGTATTTGTAAGGGCATCCCTTTGACTCCTCCCTTTTTTTTTTTACCCATTTTAAAATTCAAAAAACAAATCTTTTTTTTCTTTCTCTCTCTTTATCTTCACCTTCAAGCTCCCTTCTTCCCCTGAATCTGTCTATATAAATCCCTTTCTGCCCCAACTCTTCCTCTATTCAGTCCCCAGAAAGAAAGAAACACAGAGAGGGAGGGATACAAGGAAACCAATCGGAAAAAAAATGGCTGTTGAGCTTATGGGATACTCCGCCGACGGCGGATTCACGGCGAAGCTACAGGAGAGCGCGGTGAGGGGGATCCAGAGCGTGGAGGAGGTAATCAAGCTGCTCAACCAGCAGCAGTTCTACCAGGAGGAGGCTTCCGCCTCCGGCTCCTCCTCTTCCTCCGCCTGCGTCGACGATCGGAACATCCAGGTGGTTACGGATTTGGCTGTTAATAATTTCAGGAAGGTGATTTCTCTCCTCGGCAAGCCGAATCGGACCGGCCACGCCAGATTCAGAAGAGCCCCTGTTTCTGCTTCTGCTTCTACCTCCACCGCCGCCGTCGCCGGATTCGCTCCTCGACCGGAGAAGAAGATTGTCCAGGATCAGCCGGGGCCGTCTTCTTACTCTGCTCCGGTGATTGCTCCTCCGATGGAGCAAGGGTCTGGCTCTGTTTCCGGCGGCTCTGCTTTCAAGGTGTACCAGCCGACTCCGATTCACCGGCTGCCTCCCCTGCCGACCAACCACCACCACCACCAGAAGGCGGTGGTGAAGGAGAGGAGCGAATTGGTGCCGTCTTCCACCATCAATTTCTCGAATTCGCCTTCGATTTCCGCCGCTGCGACCTCGTTCATTTCTTCCCTGACGGGGGATACCGACAGTATGCAGCAGAGATCTATGTCTTCCTCCGGGTTTCAGTTCACCCAGCCCTCTCACGGGAAGCCTCCGTTGTCTACTTCCTCCCTCAAGAGAAAGTGCAGCTCCATGGATGACGTCAGATGCGGCTCCTCCTCCGGCCGCTGCCATTGCTCCAAGAAAAGGTTCGCCCTTTTTGCCCCAAACCCCAACAAATCTTGAATTAATTTCGTTGGTTTTTCTGGGTTTTTGAATCTGATTCCTTATTTCCCCAAACCCAGGAAATCAAGGTTGAAAAGAGTGGTGAGAGTGCCGGCAATTAGTAGCAAGATGGCCGATATCCCGCCGGACGAGTATTCCTGGAGAAAATACGGCCAAAAGCCAATCAAAGGCTCTCCACATCCAAGGTAATAAATTGAAATTTGATTTTACTCTTGATGTATTTGTTTTCTCTGGGTTGGAATTATGTTAATAATCGTATTGAGAAGCATTCATAGAGCTCAGAGAGCTAAGTCAACTCTGTTTCTTTCTTTTAACAGGGGATATTACAAGTGTAGCAGCGTCAGGGGATGTCCGGCGAGGAAACACGTGGAGCGGGCGCTCGACGATCCGATGATGCTCATCGTTACCTACGAAGGAGACCACAATCACAGCCACAACGACTCGTCGCCGGCCGCTCTTGTTCTGGAATCGTCCTGATTGCAATCGACGGGAAGAGAAGAGTTGGAAAAAAGTCAACTTAATCGGCGCCTGGTGGGAAGATGATCAATCAGGGTTTAATTTTTCTTGGGTTGTGAGATGAAATCAGGAGCGTTGAGAAGACGATGATCATTAAAGTCCGAGGTACAGAAAAGTCGCTGGGGTGGTGGTGGTGGCGGCAGAGATAGTCAACGCTCGCATCAATGGCAGAGAAAACAGGAGAGGGAATTATTAATGTTGAAAAAAGAAAAAGAAGAAATACATAGGATTCCTTCCTCTCAATCCCTCTCAATTCAATGTATTGTTAAATTTTTATGTTTTTGGAGGAGATTTTGTGGATTTGGTGGGCGTTGAGTCATGCAAACTCTAGTAGTGGGTGGATTTCAGGGATTTTTATTTTTTGAATTGTTAAATATATATATATATATATATATATATAATAGAGAAGAATAGAGGTGATTAGATGAATTTGGACTTGTTTGGTTGTTTCTAATTTTAACTGCATTACTTGACTTTTTATTTGAACTCTTAATTATAATAATGCTATAATTATAATAATTATAAAAAATAATAATGGTATGGAACTATCGAGGGTTGAATTATTTGAGGGGTTTTGGGGTCATGGAGGGAGGATTGTGGATCTTATCCTCATTATATAATGCCTAATTCCTTGCTTGAATTTGTGTATACAACAATAAATAAGATTAAACAAACATTAAAGAAGGAGAAAAACGAGGGTGTGACGAATCTCAAGAAAATAATTAGGGGGATTGAGGATTTTGTCCTTTATTTCACGAGGTGGGTGTCCTTTTGTGAGGAGGGGATAGTTGACCAAATTGATAATGTCGATGGCTGGCTCCAGAGAGATGCCTTGGGTTTGGGCAGATAGATTGATTGGAACCCTTTTGGCGTTGTCCCAAACCCAAATATAGTTCAAATTTTGCCTTCTCTTCTCTACTTATTTCTTGTGATTAAACTATCTACAAGTTGAGAAATTTCAGAGTATTGGATGTCAACTACCTGGTAGTTGAATGTCATGTTAGGCTATAGACATGGGATAGGAGGGGCTTTATTGGCTTTGCCAAAACATAACATGGCAAAGAATGACTATCAATTGACTAAAATTAACATTTAAATAATATAAGATTCATCATTTATTGTTGGAAGATGTGTTTGTTATGCATCTTGTATCATTTACTAATACATTATCTCAGATTTCAATTACATATGAGTTCCTTTTGCTTTATGGGCGTGTTAGTATAATATCCATAATTGGATCTTTCTCAACAGTTCGTGTTACTGGGATCAACTAGTTCTTGACATGGTATCCGAGCCTTCTATGCTCGAGAGGTTTTTCGTTCGATTCTCGAGATCTCATTTGTTAAACACATGATATTTGGACTCGCGGAAACTTCAATATCATATGAGTGACTCGAGTTTGAGAGTGTGCGTAACAGAATGGTTAAGATCCATATATGAACCTCTCCCAACAACTTAAATGATTGGAACAAAATGGTTATGTACAGATAGAGAACAAATAACTCGAGGGTTTGATTTATTAAAGAGACAATTCAAGTTCTGGGATTTGAACACGGAAATGGTAGTTGGAGGATTTAACCATCTAAAATTCCAAATGAGTCTTTTTCTCATAATAGCATTGTGTTTTACCAGAACCCATAAGCTTTCATAACGTCTTGAATCTAATAGATGCAGCATTGCTACTCGCATGATTTTAAGGTCACTACTTTTTTCAATCAATCTCTTTCCGGATTTCTTATGATAATGACTAGGGTTGATCTGATTTACCGCTCGCTTCTCCTAAATCGAAATTCTATTATTTGTAATAAGATCATAAGATTATTTATAAAAAAAAGAATCCACAATTTGTTAACTCTAAGGGGGTTCTATTTCTATATCTCCAATGGTACCTCATTCTCGTGAACTCATAAATAAATAAATAAAAAGGGTAGAAAGATTTGAAGGTACTCCATTTGTTCTACCAAGTGGGAGACCAAACTTGACAGAGGATTTGATGTCTATGGAAGATGAGTTGTGAAGATCTGTTTTATTATTTGCTGAAAGGGTGCTGGGCTGAGAATCTTTGGGAAGACTTTTGTGGGAATTAAGTAAGTGAGCTACCCTCCCCTCTAGATTAATTGGGCAATTTATTGTGTGCTTAAAGTCAAAATTGGAGCAATTGGATGGAGGTCATGATGCTTTACTTGCCACCCACTTCCACAAATCTTTCCCCCTTTCAAGCATAATGTTTGAATACTGTCTAGTTGTTTATGGGTGGATGGCAAAATGTCAAATGCTTACTTGCACCCATCTTTTATTGACAATTTGGGGCTATAGTTTAAGAACCCCTGAAATTTGGCTTCATTAGTCAACTAGTAGATGTTTTCTAGAGCAAAGCAAAGCATCTCCCTTTTGTTATTTTTATTCTTGTGGCAACTTGATTGAAAAGGAATTCCAACTCAATTTCCCTTACGAAAAATAAACTTACTTGTTTTCCAGCCCTTGATAAGCTTTGTGCTTGACCATTGTATCGATTAACTAATCAAATTCAAGCACAATGTAAGGGAAGAGGAGAAAGATTTTCGTGGAAGAGCAGGCGGAAACAGAGCTTGATTTTCCCTTTCTCTTTTCACTCATATACACACAACAACGGCTAATCCACATTCAAAACAAACTAACAAAGAAATTGAAACCAAACAATCCAAACTTGACGCATATAATTTATTTGTTGATTATGAACCACTAATTTATCTATAACATGAAGAGAATAAAACAATATGTTTCTCATCAGCAATAAAACAACGCCGCAAAGATGAATCAATAAGTAGTTTGTGTAGAAATTTATAATTTTTTTTATCTATGCACGAGATGATTCTGAGATCTCCCTCTCCCTTAATAGTGTGAATCAAAGTACACCTAAAAATCACACCAGCTTATCAACTACTGTCACTGTGTAACTCTCTAACCTACACAGATCATGGTTCGTGGGCCTGGTTAAGCACCAACCAACGTCACCAGTCACTCACCTCCCACCGACGATATGGGAGTAAACAACAGAAGATGTCAGTTTTTGGAAGGTCAAAGGTCGATGTTGCATAAATGGTTTCACCTTAAAACTCTCCGAAAGTCAATCACGTCTTCTTCTCCACAGTAAATGGCAACCAAACTCCCATTTACCTAAACCAGTCCTTTTCCTGCCTCGGTGTTCGTTTTCTTTCTTCTACTTGTTTGTGCTTCCTCTTCTAGCTACATCATCTAGTTTTTTTTTTTTTTGGTAGAAGCTACATCATCTAGTTGACATTGGGTCAATGAACATTCAACATGATAATCTCCACGAAACATAATACATAGAAACTTTTCAGTTTTGCCCCACGTTCGTAGGCTAATCATATTGATATCACGTTAGATTTCTTGGTTTCTAGTCGTAAGATTACTACCATGAGTGGAGAGCCCTTTTACTGTGCTATAAAGTATTGGTGCTTTAATGTACAACTTGAAGTTGTACCATAATATTAAATATATAAGTTCAAGTTGTATCATAGAGGAATTTGTACCCTTATGTTATGGTACAACTTTACAAGTTGAAGTTGTACCATCACATAAAGGTACAAGTTCAAGTTGTACCAATAAGAATATGTACAAAACAGTGTAGGTATAATCTATAACTGTACCATAACATTGAATGTACAATTTCAAGTTGTACCATAAAAGTGAGAACCTATAGCACCAATACTATCTAGTATTATAAAATTCCTCCATGAACTCAATGTAGACAATATTTCAGTGTGTCACACGTCACTACATGTCCTAATGTGCATGAATAAGTACGAATCTAGCTCTTCAAACATCCAAAAAATAGTTTGGAATGACGAAACTAACACGCATCACTAATTGATTGTTTAGCTTAATTGTGACTTGATAATTGAAGCATCACTAAGTAGAATTGTTATTGTAATGTCATGGGTTATGTGACCTTTATTTGCTTATCACGATATTGCCAAATAACCACCATTAAAGAAATACAAAATACATTCATATTGCACATACAGGCATTTGATCAAGAGCCACAATTGGCAGAATATACATCGAGGCAATATACATCGAGGCCTGACCTGGCAGGCTGGCACGATCTAACCATATTGAAAATCGAGTGATCACGAGATTGAAATTAGGGAATGGTTAAATAATTCTTCGGCGTGGATGTTTGGTCGGGAAACCTCCAACCAATATTACTCTTGGTTGAGTTTTCCCTAAACCCAACTTTGAGGGTAGTAGGTTTGGTTTGAGTTTGATATTTCGAGTATCCGCACTGAACTCATCCAAATATTGCTCATTTTCCTCAATTTTACATTTTAAGAATAATTTCACACCGTATGAAAAACTTAATATATGTGGTCAAGATGGTGCAGCTAACTTTTATCCAAATCGCAACCGGGTAGGTTCTAGTATCTCTTGTTATACCTGCGCCTACTGTTAATAAATATCGAGCCTGCTCGAACTCATTGCCAAACCTAATTGAAACTTTTGGTCTTCGGCGACCTTATTCCTGAAGCTCTAGTGCTCACGGAAAAAAAGCATGGCAAGCACATTACCTAGTGATCGTCCACAAAACCTGGTCACAAAGCATAAAGCATTAGTTGAATACTTGAATTGGCATGTGCCCAGAACTGTTAAGATTTGCAAAAAATGAGACCAAACAGATTAATCAACATGTTTTCTCCTCCACCTAACGAAAATTGTTCCAAGCAATTCCCTTCCCTTCCACATCTTCTGCAAAAAAAACTTTGGTTTCGGTTTCTTAAACGCTTTTTCTCTGGCTCTCTACCTTGGTCTTACTTTCTCTCTTTCACTCAAAGTAGTGGGCTGGGGGGAACTTCCAGCGTCGCTCCAGCCTGAATCATGCCCCATCCGATCAGGCGCCAGTGCTTCTCCACTCTTCGACTCAGGGCTATCTTCTCCCCCTTGCTGGTGCAGACAGGCGATGTCAGCTGCAGCTTCGCGAGATCATTCTTCACAGCAAGCACCCGAGCGCCTGTCGACATGGACCCAATGTTAAGCATAAGAATCTCTCCCTTCACCAGCTTGGACACCTTCCCTTGCTTCTCGGACCCCTTAGTCCTTACTCCAATCAGTCTCCTCAGAAGGAAGAAATTCACCTACAAAATACATAAAAAAGCAAGTTAAGGAGCAATCGGATTTAGATTGTTACTTTCAAGTTAACTAAACGCAGAAAGGCTCTACCTCAAGCTCAACAAAAACATCAGGGAGGGAACCAATGTCCCCAAGGACCTGTCCCACCAGCCTATCAGCACGTGTCAAAGTGGGGTCCATTGTTGTACCAACACCGATGAGACCTCCAGGTACGGCAAATTGTAATTCATTCTGCTCAGCAAACAAACTGACTATCCGAGTGTAGATGGGGGTGCATTTCATGTTGCCATTCTCGTCCTTAAGCACGATTCCTGGACGGACCTCAATGTATTGGTTCACCTTCAAAACTCCCTGCACAGGACATTGGACAAGTGTTTAACAAGACCCGGCAGAGAATAGAGGAAGACAGAAAATGATATCAGGATATACTTACTGTGAGAATACTTCCACCAGCAACCCCACCTTTGATATCATCAACCTCGAAACCAGGTTTATTGACATCAAAAGATCGGATCACGATCATATTGGGTGGTAACGTGAAATCCCTCTTCGGAACAGGGATTTTCTTTACAATATACTCGCAGACCACATCAATGTTGTACTTCAACTGTGCTGAGATAGGCACAACTGGAGCACCCTCTGCAACCGTTCCCTGTAAGAGGCAGTAGACTACATAGGTCAGCAGCTGTCACATTTTATTACATTTAATTGAAGAAAGCAGAGCCAAATACAGCTTAAAACAAGAGGATAAATGATGCAAAGAGCATATCCGAGAAGGAGTGAACCTGGATAAAGTTCTGAATAGCTTCATGCTGGTTGATGGCAACATTTTCCTGGACAAGATCAACTTTATTCTGGAGAATAATAATATGCTTAAGACGCATGATTTCAACAGCAGCAAGATGCTCAGACGTTTGTGGTTGAGGGCAGCTTTCATTTGCAGCTATCAGAAGCAATGCTCCATCCATAATAGCTGCTCCATTAAGCATTGTTGCCATGAGAATATCATGGCCCTGTAGGTGAGCAAAATGAGTAGAACCATAAACAAGAGACACTAAAATAATAATAATAATAACAATAAGATTAATGATGGGTGATCAACAAGAGTATCCTACTAGGAAAACTTACCGGACAATCTACGAAGGAGACATGTCTAAGCAATTTCATCCTAGCATTCTCAAAACCAGGAACATCACACGAAGGATTATCTTCCTTACCACTTCCGTAGGCCCTGAAGAAACACTTTGAACATGTTAAAAATAAACTGCAGCAACAAAGATGGAACCTGAATACCAACAAGTTTAAGCTTTGAATCAACTCACTTGTAGCACATAGGCCTAGGGCATCGGTCATCCTCACATTTGTATATCTTTGCATTTGCATACCCAAGCTTAATAGTAATATTTCGTTCCAACTCATTTTTAAATCGAACAGTCTGCAAAAAGGAACGTCAAATAATAATCACTGTTTACATAGGCATAAGACATTATGGAAATCCTCTCCATGCAAGCAGAGCATCTAATAAGCAATGGCAACGTATCTCGATAATATTCTTTCCTAATTGGAAAATTGGTATTATGACCAAGATTCCTTATTAAAATGATAAGGAAGTCCCTCATTCTAGCCATAATGAGTTCTGGGGCACGATAAACAGTTGTATTTGCTGTATAGGATTTGCATTGAACTAAATGGTAACTTATGGTTTATGAAAGAAACTATAGGCTGCATATCTATATGTTTTCGGCAAGATAGTAGAATGATTGTTATGACTACCAACATCGAAGATAATCGGACACAAGCTCACCATGTAAGATCACCATTATTACTATCTTGTCTTAGCTTAAGTACAAAACATTAATAATTGTCTCAACTCTCTTATAAATGAACCTTACAGAATACATCAAAAGGGAAGAGAACTGAAAACTCAAGTAAACATGGAGTAATGCAGAAAACTTAAAAGAGTGACACACCTGAACACCAGAGATTGCTTTCACAACAGTGGACTTGCCGTGTGCCACATGACCAATAGTACCTGATGATTAGAAGAACGAGAAAGATATAAGTCTACAATTCTTAAAGCGGAATAAGAACAGACATCAACATTATTCCCAAAATACAGCAGCTTAGTTTAAATACTTAAAGCAGGAAAAACAAATCACCTATGTTAATTGTAGCCTGGCGGGATATCACTTCCGGAGAGAGCGGATGTAACGTAGTTACATCCAGCTTACTCAGGTCCTGCTCCATTAAGCCTTTCCGCGACATTTTATACGTCCCTAAGTTTTCCTCTGAAACAATAAGATCCCGCAGGAACAAAGGACTGAGTGTCAAGCAAAGCCCAAATTTTGCTGATAAACAAAGCATGTTGACGATTCCTATCCAATTCATATTGCATATAGGCACTAGAAGACAGCAAATTGAAGGCAACAAAGGAGCTATAGCGATGCATCCAATTAACCGGCAAAACACTAGTAATGATTCCCTAATCCATCCCCAGCTAAGTCCCTTGTCCAACCTAAAACCATCGAGAACCCCCAAGCAGAACGAGCTGAATCGAATTCTCTCAGTGACCGAAAGCAGCTGAAAGATAGCCATGACTAGACCACACTCGAGATTCACGCGCTCTAATCGAACTCTAAGAAGACAATTGGCTTAAGCTCTCATCCTAAAGCTCTTGAGCTGAATCCAGCCGCAAAATCAAATTGCCGCATTCGGGAAAACAAGCCAAAAGCCAACTACACTAAGCTTGATGATGAATCAGGCAGGAGAGAAAGAGAAGACGGCGAGAGAATCCGACGGACCTGAGCGAGAAGTTGGAGTGCCAAGTGCGAGAGAACGGTAAGTAAGTCGAAGAAGCTGGGAATGAGGTGACAGAGACCAGAAGCACAGGCAGCGTGAGAGATGAGAATGGCCGCTTGAAGAGGAGTAGCTGATGAATAGTTTGAGCGAGCTAGGGTTATTTTTCTGGGTCTGTTGAGAGAGAAAGAGCTTGCAGGTGGCGTCGGGAATATTTCTGAGTCTCTGGGTTATGGGTTTAGGCTGCTTTAGTCGGTTTGTAATATAAAGGGCTCAGATCGAAGGGCCGGGTGCCTTTATAGGAGTTGGTCCCTTCACACGGCATGGCCACACATACTGGAAGCCCGGTAGGAAAGCCCAACTCTCGGGGAAATTATCAGACCATCTCAGCCTCGGATGGAAAAGTGGAAATATATATTTTTTATTTTTTATAATCCACCTAATTCCATTAAGAAAGGGTTTTAATGGCCCGAACCCCGAGAGATCATTACAAAGCATGTCACAAATGACAGGTGGTCTTCCAGTCCAGAAAAATTAGTTCGCCAAATATTATGCCTTGTTCACTTGTCATTCCGTTTTATGTAGCTGCCCACAACAGAAAACATCTGAAAATGAAAACGAAGTTGTTGTTATCTGAGAAACAAAACCTGCAAAAGAACTTGTTTAGCTGAGAATTTTTATGATTTCTGAAACTGAATTCTGAAAATGAAAACCTGTTTAGTTACTTCATTCTGTTTTCCGGTACTTGACTAGCACAATTTTTTCATTGAGTATTATACAATTCTAATCATTATTATAATTTTTAATACGAATTACATCATTTTCCGGTATTTGCAAGTAATCGCACCATTTTTTCCATTTACATTGTGTATCATCCAACTCTAACCATGATATCTATTGGGCCACTCATTGAGACGCGTGGGCCCTCAAGCCCATGATCACTAAAAGCCCATAAGTAGATAAACCCGGCCCAAACAACCCGGGTTACACAAGAAAGCCCACCCAAAGGCGGTCTTCTTGAATGACTAAGGGAACTGCCCGACATTATTCTCAACGTAAAACTGGAAGAGCGCCCGACATAAGTGTCTAACGGTCTCTTAACTGCCTCAATATGGAGATTGACAAAGATACGCACTTAATGAACCCGGATGCGTCCATAGACGCCCGACAAAGCATTAAATGACATCACCCCAACCAACGCTAGTATAATACCCCTCAACGGGTCAAATTTATGGTCACTTCCAACCACCACTCTCTCTCTCTCTCTCTCTCTCTCTCTCTCTCTTATTTACTATTCTCTACTTCTCTCAACAACTTAAGCATCGGAGGATGTCCCAGGCTTTCCCTGAGGACCTTTCCTTGCAGGGCACGACATGATCGCCCCCCGATCAGAGTCCGTGCGCGGTCTGTGGAGCTTCACCAAAAGCCTGGTACTAATCATGCCTACATATTTTGGCGCCCATCGTGGGGCCCGAAGACTTTGCTATGACAAAGATGGGGGACGAGTTCGAAACCCCGCTCAAGGGAATGGTCGAAAACAACACGTTGAGGGATATATCGTCGAGAATCGTGGATAAGATAAAGTTGGAGGATGTTGTCAAAAGTCAAGGGCAACATAACACGAGCATGCAGAATAGCCTCCACCAAATACTTCACCTCTTGAAGACGAGAGAAGACCCAACCGAGGCCTCAAAGGGAAGACTGCGGGAGGAGAAGCAGAAGGCCACTTTCATCCCTGACAGTCTTGCTCAGACAAATGACGAGGGAATGGAGGCAGAAGACCTGGACCTCGGCTTCCTCGAGCAACATTTGCGGTCCACCTACGGGAGGCACAAAGAGCCAAATAATCTTCAAAACCCCCTGGGAAAAGAGTTATTAAAAACACCCGTGCCCCCAAACTTCTCATCACTGGGGCTACCCACATACAGCGGAACTTCAGATCCCACAGATCATCTTTTAGCATTCATGCTGAGACCTGTGCCTTGCGTTCTCCTTGAAGGGGTCATAGAGAACTTTGAACAGTTCGTTATGCTGTTCTCCACGAATTTTGCATCCCAACGAAGACGCAAACTCACTGTCTTGGCTCTCATTAACTGAAGTCAAAGGAAGGAAGAGTCGCTAACAGATTTCTGCGACCGCTGAAACGCAATCGCGTGTGAAATACAAGGAATCTTTCTGGCGGTGGCCGCAGGCAACCTCAGGATGTCAACGAATAGCATTAAGCTGAAGAGAGCCCTGATAAAAAAAAAAAGAATCCTCCCTCTCGTTGTGGTCGGAGCTGGACCAGTTGGTCCGGCTGGCTATATTACTTGAAGAAGCGTTAACCACAGACGATCAAAACAGGCAACTTCGACCCCGGTTCGACACCGATGACCGAGGAGATGCTCAACGAGGGAGACGCTCCCCAGAGAGAAAGACGTATCGAAACTGGTACTCCGAGCGGGACAACATAAAGGAAGTGTTTTTTGCTGATCGAGAGCGTGGAAGAGAAAAAAGAAGGGAAGGGAAGAAGCGAGAGGCCCCTCCTAGGCAGTAGCAGCAAGAGGGAAAGAAATGGTGCGACTAGCACCAGGCGACCACCCATGACACCACAAAGTGTAGGAAATTCAGACCCAGCCTTAAGTACCTCGCTTCAGGAGATCTCCGCAACCGCCTAGAGACGAGACGATCACACAAAGAACGCTCCCAAGAAGCACATGAAAGGTTTTGGAGTCTAGAGTCAGACAAAGCGAGGAGAACTAGAGCGGAGAGATCAAGATCCCCTCGCATGTCAAGATCCCGCCTACTGAAAACCGCGCGACGATGAAGATTGAATGAAAATCATAACAATTGTTGGGGGCAGAAAGCGCGTGAGGTCGGAAGGAGACCGCATCGCACACTGCCTGAATGTCCAACGAAAGGCGCCAGCTGACGTCTCCTTCTTGCATCCGAGATGGTCAAAGAGGAAACCGTAGAAGACCCACTAGTCATCTCCTTTAGAACCATGAAATTCACAGTCACTCGCGCTCTGGTAGACAATAGAAGCTTTGCGGACATCCTCTTCTACTCAACGCTTAAGAGTGTCCAAGACCTCCATCCCTCCAACCCCAGTCTGGTAGGCTTCTTCTGAACGAATGTGCGTGTTCTCGGGTCAATCACCCTCAAGGTAACCATAGGTGAAATGAAACGGGAGTCACAAAGATGCGTCCCGTAGAGTCCCACGTGGCAGATTGTTCATCAGCATACAACGCCATTTAGGGATGCTGTTTTCTTGCAACCTTCGAGGTGATTCCCTCAACGTGCCACCAGACGTTAAAATTTCCCAGCGAAGGACGGACGGGAAGCATCCGAGGAAATCTCAAGGAGGCAAAGGAATGCTACCAAGCAACCATTGAGAATCTGGAAGTTGAACTCGTCGACGCCCGAGGACATTCCCCGCCAAGAGGCATTGGAGGGTGAAGTGGCAGTCAGCGGCGGATCCAGAACACAGAAGTGTACTGGGCCTCATTTTATTAGAAAATTAGAATAGTAAAAAAATATCATGATTATAATTTTTTTTACAATGTAAGTTGTACACGACGGTATTTTAATTTAGCGAACGCATTAATAATAGAGTCTACATCCATACCAATAGTATACACTGTTTCAAATAAAATACTCGAGCAATCGACTAGAAATTCATCTCTCATTTTGTTGCGCAAATCAATTTTCACATGTTTCATTGTTGAAAAGGTTCTCTTCGTATTAGCTGTTGAAACGAGTAGCATCAACACTAGACAAATTAATCTACTAATCAATTTGCATTGTGTTTCCATCCCTATATCCACCCGCTGCTCTAGTAAATTTTCAAGGTAACAAACCTCATATATGTTTTAGTCTTTTACGTTTTAAACTTTTTGAATTTTTAGGGTTCATTGTTTTTTTAGACGAATAACCTTTGGGGTTAGAATTTATAAGCTAAATTTAGAGTAGTGATTTTGAATATAGAGTAGAATTTATAAGCTAAATGAACGTTAAAATGTATTCCTAGTACGAATAACCTCTAGTAAATCCTATTAACCGAAAATGTATTCCCTTAGCCGGTGTTCCTAGTACGTTAAATGAATTGAGTTGAGGAATACCGGCTAAGGGAATACATTTTTCGGTTAATAGGATTAAGGAAGCAATCGGGTTAAGAGACTTCGCGTCCAAGGAATTAAAGTATCGACACTTGAGAGGTGAGTGGTTTAAGGGGGTAAATTCTAAGCCTTACGTATTTTCAAGTATTTGAATTACGAGTTTTAAGCATGTGTGTTTATGTGAATTGTATGCCAGTGATTAATTTATGTCGTGATTGATAAAGCACATTTTATTTGAGATATTATCTGAGATGCTCTATTTGAGTTATGATTGTGAAGTATATTATTATTTGATCTTTCAGTATTTACTTGAAGCTTTTATATTTATGTTTATTTAATATAATGAAGGTTGTTTGATCTTTAAGGATCAACATTTAAGAGGCATTCTACTCCTAATTAAATTAGGGTGAAAAGATTTAAAGGTAGTTCACTAACGCCAGTCCCCCGCCCCAATGAAAGTTTAAAGGAAGAGCAAGTTTTCTCTTAAGGAACATGTGGATGAATCACTTGTAGGATGGAGTCGAGCGCGAGACTCTCTTCGACTTTTCTCCTTTGGAGCTCTGAAACCCTAATTCGAGAAATGGGAAGAGAATTACTTCAGGTTTAAGATGAGGACCGAGATTAAGTCTTATGTTGATAAAAATGATATGTAAGCTTAAAGGCAAAATTCAATTGGACTTGAAGCCCAAAACACTGAGTCGATTTTCGCAGGCTTAAGAAGAGGGCTTCTTCTTCCTTGCTGCTTTGGACCAGAGAATAAAACCACTTCTTCTTCCTCCTCTGTGCAGCTCCTCTGTTTTGTTCGATCCATGCAACACAAGTTTCTGCAAAGCAGAGCCTTTCACAAGATAAAGTCAGAAGCAACAGAAAAGTAAATGACACAGAGACTTTTTACGTGGTTTCCGATACTGATGAATCAGTATCGACTAGTCCACGGCCAAAGTAGTTCAGCTAGAACTCTTTGGCGTTGCACTATGATGTTTGGTTTTGATTTACACAATACACAATCCGATCTCAGAGTGACTCCCTGCCACTGATCAGAATCTCCCTCAAGGTTTTGCTCTCCGCAACCCTTGACTTGATATACCTACGAATTCACCAGCTATCTCCCTGACAACTCCCCTTTTCTTTTCAATTACAAGAACTCTCAGTATCTCAATTGAACAAGTGTGAAAAGGTGGTTCTGCTCTCTTGGTTCACCCCCTTTTAACTCTATTCGTTTGTCGACCGTTGTGATGGTAAATGGAGAAATTCATTCCCTTGATTTTTGCAGAATCGGCGTGCTCAATCTTTATTTCCTTTTCTTGCTCTTCACTGTTGATCTTCTTTCCTTATTCTTGTGGCGCCTTTGATCAAGCTTCTCCCAACAATCTCCCCCTAAGCTTGTCACTGGCTCTTTCCTGTATTCTGCACATAGTGAACACACGATTGGTGCAGCCTGTTCTATCCTGCAGTACTGCTAAGGTTGCATAGATTCTGGGAAATCAAGGAGAATCATTTATTCCATAATCATTCAAACCAAAACATTATTCAAACCAAGACATGGACGCCAAGACTCAAAAACAACTCTTGAACTTCTGACAATAGTTCATGTGACACCTCTAACTCAAGATTCTCACTTCTAACTTAAGACTCTCCCCCAATGACAAATCCCATCTTCTACCTAGAATGGATACTTTGGTGGTGACTCATAATTAGGGGTGTGCAACGGTTTGGTTCGGTCCGGACCAAACTCATGAGAACCGCGGTCCATTAGTGAAAGACATGTTAGGACCAAGGACCGGACCATTCTTGCATTTGATCCATTTGGTCCGGTTTGGTCCGGTCCAAATATGAGCTCGGTCCACCATTTCTTCAGTAATTATAAAATTCATGAGGACCAAGGACCAGACCGCATTTTACTCGGTCTGGTCCGTTCCGGTCTTAACAACGGTTTGGTCCAGTACGGACCGGACCATTGCACACCCCTACTCGTAATCCGAGACTCCACCTTCTTCTTCAGACTCTGAATCAGAACTCATAGCATCAGTAATAGTCCCAGATTCATATACAAATTTTGGCCACATAAGATCCTTTTCCCTTAGCCTTTTCAGACTACCAGTTTGCTTTTGTGACTTGGTGGATTCTCGCTTTACCACAGTTACTGCAGCATCCATGAGTGCCTCAACAAGTTTGCCAGACTGATATGTCTTTGCAGGATCAGCCCTGACACCCCCTGAGCCATTGACTAGCTTTCGGGGGCCAACTTCAGCATCCAGTTTGGCCAAGACATGCTGAGGACGAACCTCTTCCAGAATATTACAGAGAATAATCTTGTCACGAAGATCAATACCCAGCTTATAGAGGAGCTTAGTGATCTGAGGACCAAAAGCCAAGGGGCCACTGAAGTACTCCATACCAAATCGAAGCATATGCTGGAACATTAGAGATGCATAGCTGATTGGACAACCAGCTTTAGCATTCGACAGAATCCAGAGATCCGTAGGGTCTAGGATATTAGTGGTTGAGAGATCACGGGGCAGAAAGCTCCGAGTGATGAAAAAATGAAGGACCTTCAAGTCATCATATAGTCGCCCAGCAGCGAGACGGTTTGGATAGTATTGACCGATATCTCGAGTCAAAGATTCAAGCGCAGTGTCGAAGGGGAATCCATGTGAGGAGAATTCTCCTTCCGTTCCAGCCTGAACACCAGAATGAGGAAGATCGAGTAGAGTGGCTAAGAGTTGAGAAGTGACTTTGATTTCATTGTCAAACACAATCGTGGTGAAGAAGGATGGATCACATCCTGGACCACGTTTGATGTTGACATAGAACTTGCGCACAGCTTCAGGGCAGTAACTGAAACGCATGTTCTCAACTAGAGAACTCCAGCCTAGATTCTTCAGAAGAGAAGGAATATGCATATCATACTTATCAAAGCATGTGGGATGAATTGAAAATGAGGGATAGATTGCTCGATCCCTAAACCTACGAAGGTAGCGGGAGTAAGCAGCAGCATTTCGATATCCCTGATTTTTGAACACAACTGCAGGATGCAGTTGAGCATTGTTGAAGGTCATTTTGAGGTGGAAGCAAAGGACTGTAGAGTGGTGGAAGCTGAAGTGATGTGAATGAGCAACCCTAAGAAGGAGAGGGTATAAATAGGGTGAGATAATCCTAGGAAGGAAGGTGAGGGATCATGATAAGGTAAGTTTTGATCTATCATGAAGGACAGAATCAATCCCAAGAGTAAAAGGTAAGTCATTATTCTCAGAGTAGAATTCATAGGGATTTGATATCATGAAGATCAAGGAGACCAAGTTCTCGACAAATAAGGATGAATTTGTCTGCCCCAAGAGGCTTGGTGAATATGTCAGCCCACTGTTTGTCAGTGCTTACAAATTCTAGACTAATTTTGCCATCTTGGACCAACTCACGAATGAAGTGATATCTCACTTCAATGTGCTTGGTTCGAGAGTGCTGAATCGGGTTTTTTGTCATGTTTATTGCACTGGTATTATCACAGAAAATAGGGAGGGAGCCTAACTCTAACCCATAGTCCTGGAGCTGATATTTTAACCATAAGAGTTATGTACACCCTAGTCCTGCTGCTACATATTCTGCTTCAGCAGTAGACAGTGCTACTGAATTTTGCTTTTTGCTGGCCCATGATATAAGGGAAGTTCCCAGAAAGTGACAAGTACCAGAAGTACTTTTTCTATCTACCAAGCACCCTGCATAATCAGAGTCACTATAGCTTATAAGATATAACCTAGAATCACTAGAATACCATAAACCCAGACTGGTAGTGCCAAGAAGATAACGAAATATTCGTTTAACAGCAGTTAGGTGACTCATTTTAGGACTACTTTGGAATCTGGCACACACTCAAACACTGTACATTATATCAGGACGACTGGCTGTCAAATATAACAAAGATCCTATCATCCCACGATACAATTTGTCATTAACAGGAACTCCAGACTCATCTTTTGACAGTTTGATCGTTGTTCCCATGTGTGTTAAAGCACTTTTAAGATTATTAAAGTTGAATTTTTTAAGTATGTTCTCAAGATACTTAGTCTGGCTTATAAAAGTTCCTTTCTCAGTTTGTTTGACCTGTAAACCTAACAAGTAGTTGAGTTCTCCCATGAGACTCATTTCAAAGGCTCCCTTCATGTCCTGTTCAAACTCCTCACATAGGGCATTACTAGTTGATCCAAAAATTATGTCATCAACATAAACTTGCACTAGTAGGGTATGATGTTTTTCATTTTTGATGAATAAGGTTTTATCTACAGCACCCCTATGGAATCCTTTTTTTTAACAGAAAGCAACTCAACTTGTCATACCAAGCTCTAGGAGCTTGCTTAAGACCGTAAAGAGCCTTATTTAGTTTGTAAACATGATTAGGGAACTCATGATCTTCAAATCCAGGAGGTTGAGATGCATAAACTTCCTCTTTTATGTCACCATTCAAAAACACGCTTTTTACATCCATTTGAAACAATTTAAATCTTTTAGCAGCTGCAAAGGCACAAAGCAAGCGAATGGCTTCCAGTCTAGCTACTGGTGCAACTGTTTCATCAAAATCTATTCCTTCCTCTTAGTTATAACCTTGAGCTACTAATCTAGATTTATTTATGGTAATCTTGCCAACTTCATTAGATTTGTTTCGATAAATCCATTTTGTCCCAATTATTGTTCTGTTTTCTGGTTTAGGAACAAGTTCCCACACATTATTTCTTCTAAATTGGTTCATTTCTTCATGCATTGACTCATTCCAGAATTCATCATCTAATGCTTCTTGAACAGTTTTGGGTTCAATTAGAGACACAAATGCAGTTTGGATAGAAGATAATTTTGAGCGAGTGGTCATACCTTGATTAATATCACCAATTATTTGGGAGGAAGAGTGTCGTTTCTGTATGTGTGGAGGTGCTTGAATGAGGTGTTCCTCTGACCTTTCTTCCTCTTCTCTTTTCTTGCCTTGTCAGTAGCTTGTACATTTGAGTTTTCTAATGCTCTGCTTTCTGAGCTGCTGGACTGCTGACTGCCAAGTCCCAAGTCATCATCTTCATCTATCAACTCTGCACACTTACTTGAAGTTTCATCAAATACCACATTGATGGACTCCTCTACTTTGAGGGTCCTTTTGTTAAAAATTATGTTTGCCCTACTGTTCTGAGAATACCCTAGAAAGATAGATTCATCTGACCTTGAATCAAATTTCCCTAGGTTATCCTTTGTATTTAGTACAAAGCACTTGCAACCGAATGGATGAAAGTAACCTAAGTTAGGTTTTCTTCCCTTCCATAGTTCATAAGGTGTTTTATTCAGTTTTGACCTTATTAAAGCACGATTATAGTGTAGCAAGCTGTGTTTACAGCTTCTGCCCAGAAGTGCTTTGCTAGACCATAGTCATTCAAAATAGTTCTAGCAATATCTATTAGAGTTCTATTCTTACGCTCTACCACACCATTTTGTTGTGGGGTTCTGGGGGCAGAAGTTGTGGGAAATACCAAGTTTTTCACAAAATTGTTCAAACTTTTCTGAGATGAACTCCCCACCGTGATCACTTCTAATGCTTATAACCTGTGATTCCCTTTCATTTTGAATTCTTCTAACTAGATTTTTAAATTTTTTGTATGCATCACTTTTATTAGCCAGAAAAATTACCCAGGTGAACCTAGAGTAATCATCCACTATCACAAATGCATATGATTTACCTCCTAGACTCATTACATTGCTTGGTCCAAAAAGATCTAAGTGAAGTAATTCTAGAGGTTTTGAAGTTGAAATGACCTGTTTACTTTTAAAAGATGATCTAACCTGTTTACCTCTTGTGCACGCTTCACAGAAAAACTCCTTTTTGCAGTTTACCTTAGGGATCCCTATTACTAAGTTCATACTAACTAGTTTAGATAAGGATCCTACGCTAACATGTCCTAACCTTCTATGCCACTCTAGTTGATCATTTTTGTCCACTGAAACTAGACACATTTCATTGAATGAAGTTTTATCATTTAGGTTTATGCAAAACAGTTTCCCTTTTCTTTTTCCTGAGAATAGAATGGATCTACTTTTAATGTTTTCCACATAGCATCCATTTGGTTCAAACACCACTTTGTTCGAATCTCCACACATTTGACTTATTGAAAACAGATTGTGTTTTAGCTCATTAACTAGCATCACATTTTTTATTTTTGGAGCAGACCCTACTTCTCCTTTACCTAGAATATCAGTGCTATAATTATCCCCAAAATACACTTTGCCTTTCCTTCCTTTAATTAGTTTTGTAAAAAGTTTTTCATTACCAGTCATATGATGTGGGCATCCACTATCCAGAATCCACTCGTTGTCTTCCATGCTCACTTGGAAGCAGACCCATTTCACCAAAGACATTTATTTTCCTTTAGGCAGCCATACTAATCTAGTTGATCTAGATTTTGAGTTAAGAGTTGTACACCTATAGCTCATGTGCCCAAGTTTATGACAAGAAAAGCATACTGTGGATTTTAGTTTATCTTCTTTGGCTAATCTTTTCTTACACTTTGCAATATAATGCCCTGTTTGATGACAATAGAAACATTCTACGTGCTATGTCCTGTTATTATACACAGAATGGTTGTTTTTCCCTTTTTCCACATTAGTTCTTTTATTAACAGCAAATTCTTGTGTAGTGATTTCAGTTAGTTTCTCTTCTAGTTGCTTATTCTTAGATATAAGTTCATTCAGCCTTGATTCTAATCCCAGTTTTTCTACTATTAATATGTTGTACTTTTCACTTAAGCTCCTAAAGTCTGACTTGAGTCTCAAGTGTTTAATTTGTACATTGTGAAATTCTATTTGAATATCTCTGATGGTCTCATTAATTTGTTCATTTTCACTTTCATCTTCTGAATAATAGTTTGAGGATCTTACGTGGGACGAGTTGCATTCATCGTCACTTCCTTCTAAAGCCATGAAAGCTTCATGTCTTCAGTCAGAATCAGCTTCATCATCATCATCTTCACTGCAGCTCCACGTTGCTGCATAAGCTTTCTCCTATTTCAGTTGTGGACATTCTGCTTTGATATGTCCACTTCTTCCGCACTTAAAACATCCTGATTGAGTGTTGCCTTTCTCATTCATGTTTGCCTCCCTTCTGAACCTTGATATCTGTCTTGACGCCTTGATTGGATCCTTGTTTGAGTCAGCTTCCCTTGAACGACTACCCATGTTTCCTCTTTTCTTTTCTTTTTGCAGTTTGAGCAATCTGGCCACATGTTTGCTTAACATGGCTAGTTCATCATCTTCCATGTCTTCTAAATTATCTAATTCATCTTCTTGTTCAGAGACACAGAATGCAATTCCTCTTTTTTCCTTTCTAGGTTCTTCATATTCTTCCCTCTTCAGTTTGTCTTCATGAGTTACCAGGGACCCCATCAATTCATCTAAACTCAACTTGGTTAAGTCCTTTGACTCTTCAATAGCAGTGACCTTGGGAGTCCACCTCTTAGGAAGTGCCCACAGTATTTTTCTAACCAAGTCTGCACTAGCATACTCTACTTCCAGATTCCTTAGGTTGTTGACAATAGTGTTGAATCTGTCGTGCATTTCCTTAATTGACTCCTCGGGCTTCATCACAAAAGACTCAAACTCTTGTTTAAGTATGTTTATCCTGGAAATCTTAACATGTGTCTTACCTTCATGAGCAACTTGGAGCTTATCCCAAATCTCCTTTGCTGTCTTGCACCCAGTGACTCTGTGATACTCCTCGGGTCCCAGTGCACAGTACATTAAGTTGGCTGCCTTTGAATTCAACTGGAAGTTCTTCTTGTCTTGCTCAGTCCACTTCCCTCTGGCTTCCTTCACTTCTAGTGGTCCGTCAAGAACTATATTCCATAAATCAGGATCAGTAGAGCCGATGAACAGCTCCATTCTGTTTCTCCAATATCCATAGTGGACTCCTTCAAATCTGGGAGGTTGAGTTTGTGAGAATCCGTCAGCCATGAAGACTCCATTTCCGTTTGTCGAGCTCGAACCCATTTTCACCGGAGGATGTTAAGCCTAATTCTCCGGAACCAGGCTCTGATACCACGTGTAGGATGGAGTCGAGCGCGAGACTCTCTTCGACTTTTCTCCTTTGGAGCTCTGAAACCCTAATTCGAGAAATGGGAAGAGAATTACTTCAGGTTTAAGATGAGGACCGAGATTAAGTCTTATGTTGATAAAAATGATATGTAAGCTTAAAGGCAAAATTCAA